TTGACTATACAAATGTTAATTATGGCAAAAGTCATGAGCAAAGTCAAAGATATATAATAAGTTTGACAAAAATATTTGCATTGTACATGATGATATGTACTATAATTTTAAAGAGCCCTGACTAGCTGAGAAGAAAAAGGCAGATCAGCAAGACTGTTTAGAAAGGAGGATACAGAAGAAGCCAAAAATGCAGAAGAAAGCTTAGTCTTCTAGAGTCAAGTGTGTAACAACAAAAGTGAGACATTTTTCAGTGTTCTCATGAAAATTAAAAGGGATTGATCACACCCAAAGTAGACAAGATTGTAACTTGCAACAATCTTTTGGAAATTAATCTGGCAGTGTCTGTTAAAACAAACAAACAAAAAAAGAAAATGTTTGAAACATTCATGATGTGCTTTGGGTGTAGTATGGTGATTTTACTTTGGGAAATCTACAGAAATAAAATATCATCTCAAATGAAATATATAGAAGAATGATTATACATTATTTATAATGGCAAAAAACTAAAAAAAAATACCTTATCTGTCATTAAATAAGTGATTGAAGATTAGATAATTAGGTTAGATTGTTAAGTACTCTGCAGTATTAACTAATTAATTAATGATGCTGGGGATCAAATCCCGGGCACTTGCACATACTAGGTGAGTGCTCTACCACAGAGCTACACCCCAGCCCATCTTTAAAATGAGCCCATTCTTTAAAAGATTGAGTTTAAATGTATTGATCTAAGAATGTCTGTGGTATATTAAGTGGAAAACAAACAAACAAACAAAAAACAACCCAAAACCAATCATGTGGCATGGCATGATTCTTTTGAAAAGAAAAAAGTAATTAAAAAAAAAAGTACTATTACTTGAACAAGTAAGCATGGACTAGAAAATGAAAAGAGAACAGATCTATACAAATACTTGTGTTATCCAAGCCTGAATTTATGAATGGAACACCAACCAACTAAATATTTGTTCCATAAAATCGTACTTTTATCTGGGCTGGGATATAGCTCAGTGGTAAATTGCTTGCCTAGTATGTGTAGAGATGCTGGGTTAAATCTCCCGTACTGCAAAAGCAAACAAACAAAAAACCAACTTAATTTTTTTAAAATCTTTATTTTATTTGTATGTGGTGCTGAGGATCAAACCCAGTGCCTCATGCATGCCAGGCAAGCACGCTGCCACTTGAGCCACATCCCCAGCCCCCCCCCCCCGCAATTTTTTTAAAGAGTATAATTTCATAGAAAATCTCTTATTGGATTGCAATTGGGGTATCAACCATTTGAATTATGGTGAAGGAGTCATTTCACTAGAATTTTAGTGAGGTTCACTTGTAAAAATATGACAGTGAGGAATGCAGAGGGCACATTTGAACAGCACAGTGTATTGACACTCTTGTTCATTATTCTATTCATATGTTTATTCCATAAGTATTTAAGTGCCACAGCCTGAGGTAACACCGGGCCCAAAAGAGAGGAAAGTAAGGCCCTGGGCCTAAGATTGCTCCCTGGCACAGGTGAGAGGTGTGCCCTCAAGTAGTGTGAAGTGAGTATGAATGTTGCTCAGGAGGCACAGTCAGTACCAGTGTCCAGAGGACAACAGATTCAGAATTCCAGAAGAGGGACTGCTAATTCTGCCTGGCATTGCCAAACTCTCTCCATTGGTATGCCATTGTGACCAGCAGACCAAGAGAACACAGAACTATTATTAATATCAGAGATATAAAAGGGCTGCTACTTTGCCAAGAGTATATGGGGCAGAAAATGAAAAAAGTGATCATAGACACGTTGTTGAATAAGCAGGGTTAGTTGGAAATATTGGTGATGTATATTTAAGAAAATTTTTTTTTTAGTTGTAGTTGGACACAATGCCTTTATTTATTTATTTTTGTGTGGTGCTGAGGATCGAACTCAGCCCCTCGCACATGCTAGACAAGCGCTGTACCACTGAGCCACAACCCTAGCCCCATTGGTGATATTATGGAGAAGAATGACATGGGAATCATGGGCTCAAAGTACTAGAGGACCCATGTTATCTCTTCAGAAGGTCTGAAACTGAACCCAGGAATTCTCTACCACTGAGCCACACCCCCAGCATGCCCCTTCCCACTTTTTTAAAAAAAATTTTGAAACGGGGTCTCATTAATAATGTCACTGAGGCTGGCCTAGAGTTTACAGTCCTCTTGCCTTAGCCTCTGGAGTTGCTGGGATTGCAGGCATGCACCCCCATAACCCGCTGGTGTGAGAATTTTAAACAACGGTTATTAAAAAGTTCCCCAGACTTTCTGGGCCTGTAGTCTAGGTGAATTAACTCTTGATTTTCGCACTGGGTTTGTGTGATGTTGCGCCTGCTTTCATTTGCTTTACTCCACTGTGTAGAACAGGGCTAATGCAGTATACTGACAGTTTTTATGTGCTTTAACCAGTTGTGTAATTTTTTCCAGCAATTGAAAAATAGAACATTTTATTGATCTGAAGGGTATCTCATTTCCATTGGTCTTACTTACTCTAATTTTACTCTTTTGCTGTAGGTGTTAATTTCAGAGCCTGAACTTGGAAGTTGGGAGTTCGGGTGAGAGATGAACAGAATAGATTTGGAGTGGGAGACTCAAAGAAATGCAGGGTGGTTAAAAGGCACTGAGTTACTTATTATCCTCTCTGATCTTTGGTTGCTACTTAGACATCATTTAGGAACTCTCTTTTCTTAGCTTTTATGAAATGTAAACTTCCAGTTTTTTTATTAACTTCTTTTTAAAAAAAATTTATTTTAAATTGACAGTTAAAATTATATTTATGGTGTACCACACGATTTGCCAACTTTTTTGCATTGTTGGCTTTTTTTTCTCTTTCCATTTCAGAGCAGGTGGGACCTTTGCAATGTTCTGTTACTCAAGTTATGTATGTTAATATCTTAAATATTAAAATATTTAAACTATTCTTCATTATGTTCTTAATTATGTAATTAAGTGGTTTTCTCCAATTAAAAAAAAAAAACTTCAAAAACAAAGCTGGGTATTTTAGCCTGAATCTGGAGTCCCAGCTGCTTGAGTGGGTGTAAGTGGGGAGGATTGCTCAAGTGCAGGAGTTGGAAGTCAGCCTGGGCAGCATAAAGAGACCCTGTCTCAAAAAAAAATCAAACTCCCCCCCCGCCAAAAAAAAAACCCCAAACCAACCACAAAGCAAACGATAACAACAACAACAACATAAAAGCAAAAACTTAAAAACTATACATTTATCTCCTTTTTTTCTCTTTTTCCAGTACTGGAAATGAACCCAAGACCTTGTGCTTACTAGGCAAGTACTCTGCTACTGAGCTAAGTTCCCTAAAAACTATATATTCAGACAAAATAAAACAGGATATAGGGCTGGGGATATAGCTCAGTTGGTAGAGTGCTTGCCTCGCCATGCACAAGGCCATGGGTTCAATCCCTAGCACCACAAAAACAAACTGGTACAATGGCACACATCTATAATCCTAGCTACTCAGTAATGTGAGGCAAGAGAATTGCAAATTCAAGATCAGCCTCTGCAACTTAGTAAGAAATTGTCTCAAAAAAAAAAATGGAAGGGATGTAGTTTGGTTGTAGAGCACTTCTGTGTTCAATATTCAGTACCACAAAGCAAAACAAAATCCCCCAAACATAACAAAACAACAACAAACCCAAACTAACAAAAACAAACAAGACTCTATCTAAAAATAAAAAATAAATAAAAAGAAGAGTTTACCTCAGTGGTTAGCACATCCCTGGGATCAATACCCAGTATTGCTGATAAATAAATAAATAAATTTAAAATATATTTTTTTTCTGACCCAATTGACTCAGCATTATTTTGAAACATAGAAATTTTACTTTTTACTCTGACCCATCACTCTGCTTCAATTTCTACTTTTAATAATAAGATCATACCACAGAAGAATTGGAAGAGAACTTTTAATCCATCCTACCCTTTCTCTGATTCCATACTTCCCCTTGCTCTTTCCTGCTTGCTCTGTCTGAGGGGCAGTGACCATAAAGTCTGCTGCATCCGATGACAATCTTATAGTCTGTGGTGTTTGGGTAACTTTTTCCTGGAATTTAACAATACTTCACACTGGACAGGTGCTTAGTCAGCTTTTTTGGCATTTTTCACTTGGACTATTCCAGTCTCCCTGGTACCAAAACTACATAAAGATGTCACAAGAAAGGAAAACTACAGACCAATATTCCTTATGAATATATATGCAAAAATCCTCAACAAAATACCAGCAAGCTCAATCTAGCAACATCAAAATGGGTTGTACATCATGTCCAAGTGGTATTTATCCCAAAATTCAAGGGGTTCATACATAAAAATCGATGCAACACCAGAAGGACAAAAAGCCATGAAAAGGAATGAGCTTTGAATATGTGCTAAAACATGGATTGTGTTAGGTGAAGGAAGCTCAGCTCACCAAAAGGTCAGAGATTGTATGGTTCTGTTCATATGAAATGTCTGGTAGAGGCAATCCTTCAGTCCTATGAAGATGAAGGCAGATCAGTGGTTTCCAGGGACTTGTGGAAGGAGAGAATGAAGAGTAACTGCTATAGCTTTCTTTTGGGGGTGATTAGAGTGTTCTGGAAATAAGACTGTTGTTGCACAATCTTGTGACTGTACTAAACACTGCTGAATTGTATACTTTAAAAGGATGAATTCTATGGTGTGAGAAATATATCTCAATAAAAAAGAACTGTATAAGGAGACAGCAAAGATTCCTATAGCAGCTAGTACAACATTTAGAGCAAGCAGATGCTCAAATAAATGAACTAATGAATGATAAGAACTGTAGGAAATCTTTTTCTAGACCACAAAAGAAGCCATTATTTGTTGAATAACAGGAGAGAAGTGGGCTCCAAGTGTCTTATCCCATGTAATCTCTAAGAAATTCTGTCTCAGCAGTTGCTTTGGTGAAGACTAAGTGCTCAGAGTTGGTTAAGTCTGGATTCTGTTTCCAGCTCTTCCTCCTAAGTATGGCTTTCACTTTACTTTTCAGCATCAGTATGACAGCCTGTTCCACAGTGGCCGCCCTGGGAATGATGCCACTCTGCCTTTACCTCTACACCTGGTCCTGGGATCTTGCGCAGAACCTCACCATTCCCTATCAGAACATAGGTCTGTACTGGGCTTGGGAAATGCAGCAGTCACGGTAATGGAGATAGTGCTAGGCATCGCTGTTTCTGCAGGGATTTTTATTTTTGTGTTATTTAATTTAATTCCATACATAACCTTACAGCATAGACTCTATTACTAGTTTGAATTTCTAGATTTTTGAGGTTAAATTACTGGTAAGAACAGAACTGGAATTCTTTCTCCCTCCCTCCCTCCCTCCCTTGCTCCCTTCCTTTCTTTCTTCTCTCTCTCTCTCCCCCCCCCCTCTCTCTTTCCCTTTTTGTGAGACAGGGCCTCACTAAGTTGCCAAGGCTGACTTGAACTTGCAATCTTCCTGCCTCAGCCTTCTGAGTAGCTGAGATTATAGGCGTGAGCTGCTGCCCCTGGCTTAGAACTGGAATTCTAACTCAGGAATCTGACTGTAAAGTCCAAGCTCCTAACCCTTATGATGTGTCAGTCAACTTTTGTTATAAATAAACAGCAATGCACATATTCTCGTGAGGCCCCCTGGCTCCACCCTGAGTCAATATCAGGCAGTTAGTAAAATGGAAGTGAGCATGAGAAAGCAGTTGCTCCCTAGTCAGGAAGACAGAGAGAGCTGGCTGGGGCCAGGCTAAGGCTTTTATAATCACTTCTGGGGAGAAGCCATCTCTTAAAGTTTCCATTTCCCAATATAGCCACTGAGGACCAAGCTTTCAACACATGAACCTCTGGTGGAATAAACAACATCTGAACTCCCATAGCACACTATTAAGAGTTCATTTTTGAAAATAATGAAAGCCAGAGGTCTTACTTTAAAAGAAAACACAAATCTTAGATAATTAGACTATAAAGCAACAAGACTCTTTTTTTTTTTTTTTTTGGTACTGGGGATTGAACTCAGGGGCACTGGACCACTGAGCTACAACCCCAGCCCTATTTTGTATTTTTTTTGGAGACAGGGTGTCACTGAGTTGCTTAGTTCCTCATTTATTCTGAGGTTGGCTCCTGTCTCGGCTTCCTGAGCCGCTGGGATTACAGGTGTGTGCTGCTGCACCCAGTGCAACTGGACTCTTTATGATTCAAAGTTTACCTGATTCTAGTGGCTCTGATGAGATCTTAATGTCCCATGATTTCACCCTTCACGTTACCTGTGAGCCTTGATTTTTTCTTACAGATTGAATGTAAGTTATTTGTACTGCTTATTAGAGCTCGTCTGCATGTCACAACCACATCCAGATCTCATTAGCTCCTCTCTGGAATGTTATTTATCATTAAGCTCCGATTTATTCCTAAGATCTCTGTAGACTTACAAGGCTTAGAAAAGTGTGGTGAAATGATCTTCCTGTTCTAGTTTCATTGAAGTCTTTGAAGAAAAGATAGAAACTATGATTCTCAGAACTTAGAAGTGTCATCTGGAGTATCATATAAGCATCTTGAGGGCTTCAGTCCATGGCCCATAGTTCAAAACCATGAACAAAGCCATCTCCTGATAACAGGAGCCCACTACATTTGTAAAATTTGAGTGACATCCATATTTAGGAACCATTTTTTAAAAAATATTTTTTAGTTGTAGATGGACACAGTACCTTTATTTATTTTATTTATTTTTTATGTGGTGCTGAGAATCGAACTCAGTGCCTCACATGTGTCAGACAAGCACTCTACTACTGAGCCACAACCCCAGCCCACAATCACAGTTTTATGTGCAGCTTTTCTGACTAGTAAATTATTTTATATATTCTGCTTTTTTAAAATTATTTTTTAAGTTGTAGGTGAGCACAATTTTTTATTCCATTTTTGTGTGGTGCTGAGGATCGAACCCAGTGCCCCATGCATCCTAGGAGAGCACTCCACCTCTGAGTCACAACCCCAGCCCTAATATATTCTGTTTTGATAATACATTCTGAAAGAACCTAAAATGTCATGAATTACTCACAAAACTTTGGAGCCAGTATTGTGAAACTTTACCATATTTGTTGCTATAAATAAACAGCAATGCACAGGTTTCCAATGCATTTGGAAAGTGGCACTGGAAAACGTCCATGTACAGATCCTATTGGCGGGGGGACAGTCACCTTTGCTGCACTGAGCCTGCCTTCAATGGCTTTATTCACTTGAGCTAATTACAAAGGCATTTGTTTTTTCTACTCATCTTTGGGTCACCTGGCGACACTTGGGAAATATGAGAAGTTGCTATGGTGGTGTAGCAAATGCTATTTCTAATGTCTACAATAGGTGTTCTTTACTCGGTGAAGCAAATGACACATTGGCCTCGAATAAGGAAGCAATAGCTATGATTTTAGAGGGATAACACCTATATGTAGGGACCAAAGAATTTCATGGATTTTAAAATGATCTTCCTGTTTTCTAATCTTTTCATTTCCTGTTTCTCTAACTCTTCATGTGATTGTCAGAAGGATTCTGAGAAGGAAGTTGATGAACCAGGTCTGGTGGCACTCATTAGTATCATATGACCTTTGAAAACTGTCTTTCAGAGATCGTTTTTATTTTTGGAGAAGGATACAAAAACAAAATGCAACTTTTATTAAAGTATGTTATCTAATTGAAATAGAATTTTTTTTAGGAAGGACTGGGTAGTTAGGGTGAGAGGGGATACGGTCTGATGAATTTTTCTTCTCTTCAGGAATTACCCTTGTGTGCCTGACCATTCCTGTTGCCTTCGGTATCTGTGTGAATTACAGGTGGCCAAAACAATCAAAACTCATTCTCAAGGTAAGCAAGTGCACACACAGTTAGCACATTCTCAGATTCAGACACATGAAAGATGGAGATCAATGGCTGGAACAAATGAGCTGATCAAACACAGCTCCACATTCTGTAATTCAATTTTGCTTTTTTTTTTTTGCTGCTGAGGATTGAACCCAGGAGCACTGTACCACTGAGCTACATCCCCAGAACTTTTAATTTTGAATCAGGGTCTCACTAAAGTTGCCCAGGCTGGACTCAAACTTGTGATACTCCTGCCTTTGAATCACTGGGATTACAGTCTTGCAACATCTTGCCTGGTGCAATTTCCTTATTTGTCCTGAGGCTTGAAATCCAGCTCTTGTATCTCTGTACTTAAAAAAAACTTTATGTATGTATGTATGTATGTGGTAATGAGGATAGAACCCAGTGCCTCACACGTGCTAGGCAAGTGCTCTACCACTGAGCCACAACCTCAGCCCATTCCTATATTTCTTTAAGCCTTGCTCTGATGCTCCCACAGGTCAAACCAAGTCTTGCAACATTTTGGAAAACATATGGGCCTCTTAGTGACAGAAAAGCTAAGGCCTAGATGTGGACAGAGAAAGTCCAAGACCTGCCCATCCACTAGGCTTTACACAGGTGCTTTCAAGGCAAAAGCTGTTCAAGTGTTCATGAAGTGGAGCCCCAGCTTTAGAAACATGGCTGGTTCTTTTTTTAAATTTTTATTGTTGGTTGTTCAAAACATTACATAGTTCTTGATATATCATATTTCACACTTTGATTCAAGTGGGTTATGAACTCCCATTTTTACCCCGTATACAAATTGCAGAATCACATCAGTTACACATCCATTGATTTACATATTGCCATATTAGTGTCTGTTGTATTCTGCTGCCTTTCCTATCCTCTACTATCCCCCCTCCCCTCCCCTCCCCTCTTCTCTCTCTACCCCCTCTACTGTCATTCATTTCTCCCCCTTGTATTATTTTTCCCTTTCCCCTCACTTCCTCTTGTATGTAATTTTGTATAACCCTGAGGGTCTCCTTCTATTTCCATGCAATTTCCCTTCTCTCTCCCTTTCCCTCCCACCTCTCATCCCTGTTTAATGTTAATCTTCTTCTCATGCTCTTCGTCCCTACTCTGTTCTTAGTTACTCTCCTTATATCAAAGAAGACATTTGGCATTTGTTTTTTAGGGATTCGCTAGCTTCACTTAGCATAATCTGCTCTAATGCCATCCATTTCCCTGCAAATTCTATGATTTTGTCATTTTTTAATGCAGAGTAATACTCCATTGTGTATAAATGCCACATTTTTTTTTATCCATTCGTCTATTGAAGGGCATCTAGGTTGGTTCCACAGTCTTGCTATTGTGAATTGTGCTGCTATGAACATCAATGTAGCAGTGTCCCTGTAGCATGCTCTTTTTAGGTCTTTAGGGAATAGACCGAGAAGGGGAATAGCTGGGTCAAATGGTGGTTCCATTCCCAGCTTTCCAAGAAATCTCCATACTGCTTTCCAAATTGGCTGCACCAATTTGCAGTCCCACCAGCAATGTACAAGTGTACCCTTTTCCCCACATCCTCGCCAGCACTTGTTGTTGTTTGACTTCCTAATGGCTGCCAATCTTACTGGAGTGAGATGGTATCTTAGGGTGGTTTTGATTTGCATTTCTCTGACTGCTAGAGATGGTGAGCATTTTTTCATGTACTTGTTGATTGATTGTATGTCCTCCTCTGAGAAGTGTCTGTTCAGGTCCTTGGCCCATTTGTTGATTGGGTTATTTGTTATCTTATTGTCTAATTTTTTGAGTTCTTTGTATACTCTGGATATTGGGGCTCTATCTGAAGTGTGAGGAGTAAAGATTTGTTCCCAGGATGTAGGCTCCCTATTTACCTCTCTTATTGTTTCTTTTGCTGAGAAAAAACTTTTTAGTTTGAGTAAGTCCCATTTGTTGATTCTAGTTATTAACTCTTGTGCTATGGGTGTCTTATTGAGGAATTTAGAGCCCGACCCCACAGTATGTAGATCGTAGCCAACTTTTTCTTCTATCAGATGGCGTGTCTCTGATTTGATATCAAGCTCCTTGATCCATTTTGAGTTAACTTTTGTGCATGGTGAGAGAAAGGGATTCAGTTTCATTTTGTTGCATATGGATTTCCAGTTTTCCCAGCACCATTTGTTGAAGATGCTATCCTTCCTCCATTGCATGCTTTTAGCCCCTTTATCAAATATAAGATAGTTGTAGTTTTGTGGATTGGTTTCTGTGTCCTCTATTCTGTACCATTGGTCCACCCGCCTGTTTTGGTACCAGTACCATGCTGTTTTTGTTACTGTTGCTCTGTAGTATAGTTTCAAGTCTGGTATCGCTATACCGCCTGATTCACACTTCCTGCTTAGCATTGTTTTTGCTATTCTGGGTCTTTTATTTTTCCATATGAATTTCATGATTGCTTTCTCTATTTCTACAAAAAATGCCGTTGAGATTTTGATTGGCATTGCATTAAACCTATAGAGAACTTTTGGTAATATCGCCATTTTGATGATGTTAGTTCTGCCTATCCATGAACAGGGTATATTTTTCCATCTTCTAAGATCTTCTTCTATTTCTCTCTTTAGGGTTCTGTAGTTTTCATTGTATAAGTCTTTCACCTCTTTTGTTAGGTTGATTCCCAAGTATTTTATTTTTTTTGAGGATATTGTGAATGGAGTGGTTGTCCTCATTTTCATTTCAGAGGATTTGTCACTGATATACAGGAATGCCTTTGATTTATGCGTGTTGATTTTAAATCCTGCCACTTTGCTGAATTCATTTATTAGCTCTAATAGTTTCTTTTTAGACCCTTTTGGGTCTGCTAGGTATAGAATCATGTCATCTGCAAATAGTCTGGGCTTTTCTTAGTTGGTAGTCTTTTGATGGTTTCTTCTATTTCCTCAATTGATATTGGTCTGTTTAGGTTGTCTATATCCTCCTGACTCAATCTGGGCAGATCATATGACTTAAGAAATTTATCGATGCCTTCACTATCTTCTATTTTATTGGAGTATAAGGATTCAAAATAATTTCTGATTATCTTCTGTATTTCTGAAGTGTCTGTTGTGATATTGCATGGCTGGTTCTTAGAACAGTTGGATGAAGGACAGACTTGCAGAAGCATTCATGGGGACACCACTGACATGTGGTTTGTGCACATGAGCAAGGGCTGCAGACAGCATGAATAAGACTTTTAAGTGAAATCACCGAGAAAGCATTGAGGAGCCCTCCCATGGAATGATAGTAACCAGAACTTACTACTTCTCTTGTCTTGCAGTGTTATCTTTTGCCTGTTGGAGAAATAAGAAAGTGTCCTTGTTAAATGACTTTTAAAAATACCTAGCTAACCGGGCACGGTGGTGCACAGCCTGTAATCCTAGAGGCTTAGGAGTGTGAGGCAGGAGGATCCTGAGTTCAAAGCCAGCCTCAGCAAAAGCAAGACGCTAAGCAACTCAGTGAGACCCTGTCTCTAAATAAAATACAAAATAGAGCTGGGATGTGGCTCAGTGGTTGAGTGCCCCTGAGTTCAATCCTTGGTACTCAAAAAAAAAAAAAAAAAAGAAAGAAAGAAAAGAAAAAAAAAACCTAGCTAAAGAGAGGCATTCTTAATAATGAAATCACCATCCTAGGGTATTTTCCACTTTCCAAATTATGTATCATTTTAGAAGATATAAGAATGTAATGTCAGAATGGGGATGTAGCTCAATGGTAGAGCCCTTGTCTGGCATGTGTGAGGCCTGAGTTCAATCCCCAGAACTTAAAAAAATAAGAATGTAATGTGGCCAGGTGGTGGCAGTTCATGCCTGTAATCTCAGCTATTTGAGAGGCTGAGGCAGGAAGATCATAAGTGCAAAGCCAGTCTGGGCAATTTAGTGAGAACCTCTCTCAAAATTTTAAAAGATGGGCTAGGGTGTAGCTTAGTGGCAGAGTGCTTGCCTAGTATGTGTGAGGACTTAGGTTCAATTCCCAGTCGAAAAAAAAAGAAAAAGAAGAAAGTACCATGTGCTGCTTTCATGAAGATTTAAAAAGTATTTTAGTTATATTTTACATTATAAACATATCACTTTATCACTTGGGATTAATCAGAGGTTTGTCAAGTATCAGTTAATTTAGTTTGGGGCTTATGGTTTGGTTCAGTTTAAGCTCCTGCTGTTGGCTCTACCTGACAAACAGACGCTGTTCCCTAATTTCATGTAAGACCAAACCACTCCTATGGTTCCTCAAAGAACATGAACAAGGGAAGAGGAGCCAACCAGCAGACCAGTCAGGTGGGTATAGACCACTGGAGGAAGAAGCCATGCGTTGGGATTGTGTAAGGTTGATTAACACTGACAGCTTGCTTTCACTCCTTCAGCTATAGTCATGGAACATAGTCCTTTTCCACATTTACTGTCATTGTTTCAACAGGAGAAAATTTCCAATGGTCAGTGTTTGTTCATGATTTTGTTTATAAAACAAGAGGAATGAGTATGACTATGGAAACTTCTTATTTTTCAAGTACTCTATCTTGGATTACTTTTCTTAAAACAGCACTTAACAGCAACAGAACAATCCTGATTCTTGTGTTTCCATATCCTCTATTAGTCCATCAGTGTCATTAGAAAAGCAAGATATACTTTACATATGCCACTTTTATTATCTGTAAAGAGCAGGTTTAAAACGTTTTCCCTTGGCAATACCATAGGATTTGTGGCAAAAAATATTTACTAATGTGTTTGAATAAATATCTGAGAGCACTTTAGTTTAGTTTAATTATAAGTTTAGGATATCTAGATCTGACACATTTTCCGAATAACCTGTTTTTCTAATTTTGTCCTGGTGAATTTCAAACTTTGAAATCTCTTTTTGGTAAAACATGAAGAAGGGATTTTCTAATCAGAGGCTTTCTTCATGTCTTTTAGCATCTTCCTGTTAGGCAATGGCTTGTGTGACCCTGTGTCTGGACAGTAAAAACGACCCCGGAGCTCACCCATGATACATACAGCAGGGTGTTGTGTTGTTCTTTGCTTTGGTTCTTCATGACTCTGGCATTACCCTGACTCCTTTTGAGTCAAGATTGATGCTGTCACTTGGAGCATAGTTCACCATCCACACAAGATGAGCTCGACCGGAGCCTGACTGTCCCTAAATACTCTCTAGGCCATACTTTCTTCCTATCTTATCTAAGACTTGAACTATTAGAGTTTTTTGGTTTTGTTGTTGTTGTTAACATTATTATTACTTTTGCTTTTGTTTATGTTAACAAAAATAAGAGACAGTAGGGCTGGGGATGTAGCTCAGTGACACAGCACTTGACTGGCATGTGTGAGGTGCTGGGTTCCATTGCCAGCACACACCTCCCAACAAAAACGACAGTACTTATGTGGGAGGAGATAGAGTATTTCTCCTATGACATTAATCTGAGCTCAGATTGTCTTGTGAGGAATGGTGCTATTTCATTGGGAGATAGCAAAAGGAAGCTGTTGGTTGTTGAAAAGTGGGGTGGGAAGTGAGGTGAATGGTCAGGCAGGGCTGACCACAGACAGTAGGTTACCAGAGGTGGGGGTCTTATGTGTTTGTGGGAGTGTTGGATGCTGCTCTGGTCTGACCCCCTGAGACAGGCTTGGTCTCTAGTGTGGTGGCATGGAGGGAGGTGATGGACCTTTAAGAGGTGGGGCCTTGTGGAGGGTAATTGGGTTCTGAGACCTGACCCTTGGAGGGATAATACAGGTCTGGAGGGACTGGACTATGTGAGAGCAGGTTGCTGGAGCCTCCCTCGACTCCCTCCTGCATGTACACTATTCACCACTATTACACAAGTTCTTACTGTGTGTGTCAGCTTTTTGTCCCTGGGACAAAATGCTTGAGAAAAACAACTTAAAGGAGAAAAGATGTATATTCAGACATTTCAGTCCATAGTCAGCTGGCTCCATTGCTCGGGGCCTGAAGTGAGGTGGAACATCATGGTAGGAAGGGCATTGGGAAGGAAAGTGGCTCATCACACAGCAGCCAGAGAGAGGGAAAGAGAGAACAGAGAGGATGGTACCAGGGACAAGAAATACTCTTCCAGGGCATGCCCCTAATGATCTACTTCCTTAAACCAGATCCCACTGCCACAGCCTCTACCACTTCCCAGAAGTCCATTCAGCTAACAACAGATTCATCCACTGTCAAGGGCAGAGCCCCCATGATCCAATCACTTCCCCAAAGCCCCACTTTTGAATATGGCTGCTTTGGGGACCAAACCTTCAACATATGAACCTTGGGGGAACATTCCAGGTCCAAACTATAGCACTCAACAGTATGAATGCCATCTGTCATGAGGCTCTCACTAGAGTCAAGCACATGTAAATGCTATAGTCTTGAAACTCCAGGACTGTGAGCTAAAATGAATCTCTTTTCTTTACAAAGGACCCAGAGCCTTAGGTATTTTGTTATAGCATTTGAAAATGGACTAAGACAGAGCTCATTGTCCAAGTCTACTTATTTCAAAATTTTGTCTAATCCATGAAAAAAACTATCACCAAATTCTTCTGGTCAGATCCTCCATTTTAATGGAAAAGATACTGGTCACTAAATAAAAAGACTGGGATTTATGTCAAACCCCACCCATTTCTAAATTAGCCAAGTCACCAGAACACTGTGGAATTTGGGCTTTTCCACTATACAGATAAATGCTCTTATCCACAGTTTTGCTTTCTGTCAGTTCAGTTATCTGTAGTTAACAGTGTAAAAACATTAGATGGAAAATTCCAGAAATAATCAATTCATATGTTTCAAATTGAGCACTGTTCTAGAGAGTGTGATAAAACCTTGCACCATCCTTCTGGAGACATGAAGTGTCCTTTGTCCATAGTATCCACGCTGTATTCACTGAGATGACACAGCATCCAGTTCAAGTTCTAAAGACATCCAGGGAGCCTTTCCTGCTGCCTTCAGCTCTATGGTCCTCCCTCTTGCATAGAAAGTGTTAGAAGGTCAATTGTCCTTATCACCCATGATTACCAGTCTGGACTCTTCCCTAGGACATCTCTTTTTGTTGTTTATATTATTGACTTACTATGCACCAGCTATATATTTTTTGTTACTTTATGTACAGTCCATGGTCAGGAGAAACTCATTTGTTCTATTTTATTATTAGTTGTTTTTAATCTCCTCTTGTATCTAATTTATAAATTAAACTTTATTATAGGTATGTATATGTAGTAAAACTCAGAAAATATGAGATTCAGTATAGTCTATGTTTTCAGGCATCTGCTGAGGGTCTTGGAACATATCTCCTGTGGATATGGAAGGCCTACTATGAAATGAAATTGCATTCAGTGCTCTCTAAGTTCCCTCTTTAAACTGCTAAGTTTCAAGCCTTTTGAGAGCCTTGGTAGACTTTGCATCATACAGAAAACAAACAGCCCATGATGTTTACCTGTACTTATTTTTTTGGTTTGCTTTAGGTTGGGGCCGTGGTTGGTGGGGTCCTCCTTCTGGTGGTCACAGTTGCTGGTGTGGTGTTAGCGAAGGGATCGTGGAATTCAGACACCACCCTTCTGACCATCAGTTTCATCTTTCCTCTGATCGGCCATGTCACAGGCTTTCTGCTGGCACTTCTTACCCATCAGTCTTGGCAAAGGTACAGTTACATTATCCTTCACTTTTTTGGAGGAAGGTAAATTAAATACATTGCCACTGACAAGCCTGTCTTGCCTGGCTGCCTCAGGAGACAGGAAGAGCTTCAATGTACACGGCAGGTGGGACGGGACAGTTCAGCCCAGAGACAGTGAAGAGATCATGGTGATTTTAAATGTTAACTGCAGCAAAGGCCAAATTGACAGGAAGTTGTAATTTGTAAAATTAGTATTGGGGGTGTTGGTGCCATTTGTTGAGATCTGGGCATATTTTTCTTCATATTCAAATAATTAAATAGGAGGAATGAAGTCATTTCACTAAATGTAGAGATCACTTTAGGTCATGAACAAGTTTTAAGAGATTATATTCTTATCTGTTGTTTGTGCTAAATTTTTAAGAATTGCTAATTATGAGACACAAGAGGAGAAAGGACATAAACTGAGAAATAAGATAGGAATTTCACTTTAAAATTATATTACACTTTGATATATATGGTTTATAATATTATTGCAAACATTAAAAATGATAAACTTGCATGTCTCCGTGCCTGCAATGAAATGCACATCATCATATAGTGATGGAGAGGAAGAAAATTGGAATAAATTCTCTGGAAGAAAAGTTAGTGTCATATCAACAGCCTTATAAATATGCATAATTGTTAACTCCACAATTTTACTTTTAAAAATCCGTTCTGAAGCTAGCTCTATCAGATGTGCACATGACTACTGATATGCTAAGACATTAATTGCAGGATTATTTATAAAAATCAAAATGGAAGCAATTGAAATATCTAACAATAGGAGATACTTAATTCATGTTGCATCCATATGATGGATATGATGCATCAATTTTAATGAATTTGGAAAATACTCAAGAGATAAATTTTAGTTAAAAAGGAATAGAGGGCTGGGGATGTTACTCTGTGGTATCCTAGGTGCAATCCTCAATACTTCCCTGCAAAAAAGGATAGAAAATGATATTTATTTTGATTCCCATATTGTGAAAGAAAGCAAAAAGAATTTTATGCATGAAGAAAATATTGAAAAAAAAGTACCATATGGTAATTTTGAGTAATGAGATTAAGAGTAATTATAGTTCTTTAATATTTTCTTGATTTATTTTCTAAGGTTTAAAAGTAAAGTTTGTTTACTTTTAAAATCAGAAAAAAATTATTAAAGGAAAGCAAATTATAAAGTTGAATTCTGAAGGTGAGTGTTGGGAAATTTTTAGTTGGCTTTGTTGCCAGTGTTCCACTGGGGAACTTTGAGCACTGGGAGAGGAATGGGCATGGCCCATTCACGAGGCATTGCATGGACAGCCAATCTGCATGGACAGGAGAGTTGGAGGAGATGAAAAGGAAAGTTGAGCTGTATGTGAAACAGTACAAATTAAATACTTGAAAACAAACAGGAAAACCAGATGTTAAAATGTGGGGCTGTAGCCGTAGCTCAGTGGTACAGCACTTGCCTAGTATGGGTGACACACTGGGTTCGGTCCTCAGCACCACATAAAGTAAATAAATAAATGAAATAAAGTTATACAAATATATTTTAAAAAATGGTTGTCTTAGGTGAAAGGGCTCAGTAATTTTTTTCTATCTTTTAAAAAAGATATTTATTTAATTTTAGGTGCACACACAGTATCTTTATTTATTTTTATGTGATGTGTTGAGGATCAAACCCAGTGCCTCACACACATGAGGCAAGCACTTTACCACTAAGCTACAGCCCCAGCCCCTTTTTTTATCCTTTTTCCACATCAAATGCCTCTTTTCCACTCTTTCCATTCTGTAGTGTCGTTCCTCTGTGAAGCCTTCTCTATACAATTCTGCAACTTTTTTCAATTGCTACAGCCTGTTCCAGGCCCTTGATTTTGCTTTGTCACGTACTTCTACTGAACTTTTCCTTGTGTATATCTGGTCTTTCCTTAGGGCAGGGTTCAGAAGGTCCTGCTCCACAGTGCCTCTTAGAAAACCACCCCACAGAGCGGGCACTCGGCAAACAGCTGTTGAATGAATAAACACTTCTAGTTGCTTGAGCTCATAGTTTATCAGTTTGCATAAGAGCAAATGTTAGAATGGTGCTTATTGGTAATACTTAACTCTTGAAATTTTTTGTCATTGCCAGGTGCAGGACAATTTCCTTGGAAACCGGAGCTCAGAATATTCAGATGTGCATCACCATGCTCCAGTTGTCTTTCACAGCCGAGCACTTGGTTCAGATGTTTAACTTCCCATTGGCCTATGGACTCTTCCAACTTGTGGATGGAGTTCTCATTGTTGCAGGTGAATGGACTTTCATTGGGTAGATTTGACTAACAACCTAATTTACCAGCTCTTTTTTGTGATTTGAACTTGTATGTGCTGCCCCCTGAATTATATTTTTAGCAGGACATTTTGGGGGATAATAAGGTGCATAAACACAATACTTTGATACAGTGGAACTTTCACAGAAAAATATTTTAAAAAACACCCAAATAGGAATTTATAATTAGAACCAAACATGCTTCATAAAAACCAAAGCACAATCAGCATTTAAATTCCAAGATGTGTCAGGATAAGCTCTCCATGAACAATCATCGATCTCAAAAATGACATTGACTGAACGTAAGCATTTATTTGTTATGTCTTATTAGGGGCCTTGAGGTTTCCCAGATGCCAAGTTACTTCAATGTTTCTGTGACTATGATTTATGCCAAATGGTTGTGAAATTTTTTCAAATATAAAATATAATACATATATAAGCATATTCACAAATATTAAAAATTTATACACATGCATACTACACACACCGTTTACCTCAATAAAGCTAAAAGCATGTTATTTTGGAGTTGATTTAATTTAAGTTTAAAAACATTTAAATACATACACATATATATATATATTTTGATCTTGGGCCATTATAAATTTTCACTGTTCTCAGGGAACAGGTTCTAAGTAAGATTCAATGATTATGGGTATAAGTGATTATATACTGATTACTGATAATAAATATACCAATGCTAGCAGAATAAAACTTCTGGTCTGAGATCAAAGTTTTGGGGAAGAATTATGACTGGCTCATCCTCAGATACATCCTAGCAAGTGTGTGACTCAGTAAGCCCTCCACTGATCAACTGACTTATGGACTGAATGAATGAATGACCAAGCTTTCCGCAGTCTGAAGAGCGAACCATTTTGACACACTGAATTGTTTCATTCCATGGTTTCCCTCTCCCCCTCTTTCCCAGTGTATTTATACTTAAGTGATGCAAAGCAAACTCCCCAAGTGTAGGATAATGACACAGTGTCCCTGGATTATACTCTTTGCTAAAGTGGTGTTTAATAATCATATGTTTGATCACCTAGCATATCAGATATACAAGAGGAGACTGAAGAACAGACCCAGAAAAAGGAACCCAGATTGTGCAGAAGTCTGCCATGACAAAAAATGCAGAGAGGCCAGTGCTTTCTTGGAGGTGCATGAAGAAGCTGCTGGAACCCTTGAGCCATCAGGACCAATGGATCGCCACAGGGCTCTGGAGCCCATTGGCCACGTCACTTCATGTGAATAGTGGGGACTTGCTGGCCAGAGTGTGGTCTTCTGTCTTCCTCAGTGATGGGTAAAGACGGGGCCGCGCGGATGCAATCTCCTTGGTTGGCAGGACCTGTGTGAATAGTTAAGTGTCAGATGTTAGAATACTTATATTTTTGTGTGGATTGTGCAATGTCATAGGATCACTTTTTGAGAGTGTATTCTGCCCATTTCAGGGAGTTTTGGGGGGTTTACACTGGGTTTTTCCTAGCTGCTGTGTGTGTTCTTGTTGTCCCATGAGGTGAATAGTGCCACCTGGCAGGAGGTAATGCCCTTTATTATGTAAAGTTGTCTCTTGTTTGGATTTTAATCTAATGACAGGACTCTGTGTAGAGGTGATATCATCTCTGCCAGGCAAGGTAGGGTCTGGATCCACATAACTTCCTGACTTTGGGCAGGTCCTTGGGAGTACAAGGGAGGACACAGTTGTGAAAAATGGGGCCCTTTTCTAAATGATTGTTTCTTAAGGGCTTGAATACCTTTTTGATTATAGATGTAATATAAGCTTAGAGGGAATTTGAAGTAAACAGGTTAAAAAGTGTATGAATTCCTCATATTTTCATTCCCTAGAGATAGACATATGTCTTTCTAATCTTCATGTATATAGACTGAGTCATTCAAAAAATGTTCAATATATTCTGTATTGAAAGTCATTTGATGACATATGATAGAACATCTCTACACTTCAGTTTGTGTTTACCTACCTCATTCTTTAGAACAGTGGCTGCATAGATATATTGCATTGCATAGAAGGACTATAATTTATTTAACCCATCTTTATAACTTTCAATTTATTTGGTATTGCAGTGCTGCTACACTACCCTTGCCTGTGTGCAAGCTCAGGAGACTCCATTCCTATGATTGGATTGGGCAGGCCCGTTGCCCATAGAAATATTGGACAGATTGCTCTTTGGCAATGTGGCGCAGCAGTACCGAGAGGGTCCAGTTTCCCATGGTTTCACCAGTCTAAGGAAGATTTTTTTTTTTCTTTTTGGTACTCGGGATTGAATCCAGGGGTGTTCTGCCACTCAGATACATCCCCAGCTATTTTATTTCTTATTTTGAGACAGGATCTCACTAAGTTGCCAAGGCTGGCTTCAAACTTGTACTCCAAAGAGTTTTGGTCACTTTGACTTGTGAAAACATCTCTTTAAAATTACATATTCAAAACTACAAGCAAAGTAGAGCATTTTCCATGATCATGTGCCCATTCATGTCCTTTGCCTGCTTTTCTGTTTTATTTTTTCATAGGTTGATTTATAGATTTTAACATGATAGTGACTATGTATATGTTCTATGTATTATCAACGTTTTACCTATTATGTATATTATCTCATTTTTACAAAGTGTCTCTTGTTGTACAATTTTGTATTTTTTACACATTCAGTTTTAGTAATCTTTTTAAAAAGTTTTAAGATGGGCCCAGTGGCACATGACTTAATCCAAGCTACTTGGGAGGCTGAAGCAGGAGGATCAAAAGTTCAAGGAAACTTACCGAGACCCTGTCTCAAATAAAATAAAATTTAAAAAGGGCTGGAGATGTAGCACTTGCATAGCCACATGCAAGGCCCTGGGTTCCATCCCCATCAATGCACAAAAATAAAATTAAAAAAAATAAAGTTCAGATACTTCTGGATTCAGGAAGATTTTAAAAGATTGACACAAGTTTTGAGGATATAGCTCAGTGGTACAGCACTTGCCCTAGTATGCATGAAGCCGTAAGTTCAATTCCCAGCACTGCCAAAAAAAACTCCTCAAAACAGGACAAAGTGTTAGGTACTAAGGAATGGTGGAAACTGAAGCAGACATGGAAAGGTACACACTTCCACTGTGCATGTTTTCTTTGTCCTTATTAACAGGACTGAGATTTTGTTCAGTGTTGCAAAATGCCTAGCTAAAAGTATTTTTTTTTCTCTTGAAGTTAGAGGTGTGCATGTGACAAAATTCTTGCTAATAAGATTGAAGCAGAAGTCTGCTTATGGTTCCTGGGGAGTCTTGCTTTCTTGCCCTAGGCACCGACAGACCCTTTCTCCTTGTCAGTTTCTATTTCCTTTTGGATCATAGATGTAATAGCAGAGCTGCCCCAGCAATCTAGATCATGAAGGGGAAAGATCAGGATAATTATAGAACTTGTGACTTATTTTTTTTTTTCCTTTTCATTCCTGGAGATTGAATTCTGAAGATTTTATGCATGCTAGGCAAGTGCTCTCTCACGAGCTACACTCCCAGCCCTTTTAAATTTTGAGTGTCTTGCTAGGTTGCTTGGACAGCCTCTAACCTTGTCTTCCTTCTGCCCCATCCTCCTGAGTAGCTGGGATTACAGGCATGTGCCTCAGTGCCTGGCAAGCTGTTGACATTCTTGAGCTATAGAATCAATCCTAGCAACAGCCAACTTCTGAAATTGTTTCCTTAAGGAAAGGAAATAAATCTTTCATTTGTGTAAGCACATTTGGTTGTTTTTTTGATACTTGCACTCAAACACATTCCCAAACCAGTGTATTAAAATTTTATTGGTTTTAAAATTTTATGTGGGCTAGCCTATAATTTGTCACATTTATCTGCACCATAACAAGGTATCTTGAATATTTCTGAATTAAGGAAAATAGGAATCTTTTCTTTCATTATCAACAAGCATAACCGTGGTAAGCTGTTCTTTTAATTTCTTGGATTTATCACATTACATTTCAATAACTAGTTATTTTTAAATGAAGAGATCTGGCAGGCTGCTCTGAAGCCACAGATTTAAAAAAAAGTCTTATCTCTTCTCAACACACATTTTTCTCCTGTTTATCATAACAATTCAGAAACATCTATACTAATGACATGTACCATAGTTTTGATTTTGAGATAAAATTATGTTTTTAATTCTCTAGTGCTCAGGATTATACTAAGATACCATTTGTTTTTTAATTAACACACATTCCTTGTTCATAATAATGGGATTCAATGTTACATCTCCATACAAGCATACAGCATGCCCTGATCATATCCATCCACCCTTGCCCTCACCCCACTTTCTCAGTCCTTAGTAAGTATCATTCTTTAAGGCAGACCTTTTTTTTTTTTTCCTTCCTTTTTAGTTTTCACATATAAGAGGGAAATTGCAGTACTTGTTTTTGTGTCTGGTTTTTTGTTTTGTTTTAACACAATATTCTCTAGTTCCATCCATTTTGTTGCAAATGACAGGATTTCACTTTTCTTTATAGTTGAATAATACTCTCTCATGTGTATAATACCATATATTTTTTGTATCCATCCATCTGTTGATGGGCACCAAAGCTGATTCTATATCCTAGCTATTGTGAACAGTGCTGCAATAGACATGGACATGCAGGTGTCCCTTTGTATGATTTTATTTTCTTTGGACACCTACCCAGGATCAGGATACCCAGATCATATGATAGTTCCATTTTCAGTGTTTTTGTGAAACCTCTATGATTTTCCTCATGGTGGCTAAACAAATTTACAGTCCACCAACAGTTTATGAGTGTTTGTTTTCTTTACATCTTATCCAGCATTTGTTATTTTAGAATATATTTTGGTTCACTTTTATACATATCTTCTATTAAGACTTGTACTTTCCCTTCTCTAGCACTGAGTTGTCACAGGGAAACAGCTGTTCGGCCAACTACACTTTCCAGCTTCCTGGTACTTGGGGGCTGTCAATCAGCCAGTTCTTGCTGATGGAACGAGTGGCAGTGATGTGCTTCACTTCCAGTCCTGGCCTGCCTAATAGAACCCTCTCCACATGTTCTCTTTTTCCTTCTGGCTGTAGGAATGGAGATTCACAGGATGACCTTGGAAGCACATTTGTTAATCATAGAACTTCCATCAGCCTGAGTTCTTAAAAATGGAGAAAGGAGAGCTGCCCTGTTGGGTCGTTTGCCTGCCCAGATTTGTTATATAAACTAGAAATAAACTATTATGCTTGATCCACTAAGTTTTGGGTTTATGTTTTATAATACTTAGCTAATACAAAGTCTGTGAGGAGTTAGGCTGTCTTTATACATTAATGTGATATTTGAGTTTTTTCGGTGCCTGGGCTCTGTGGCCTCATCTTTCTAAACAGAGTGGTTTTAGCAAGTGACTCATACCATTCCATGGTGGTGGAGCCAGATCCCACAAAGCAGGCAGTAATGGGTTTATTATAATCAAGTTTCTACTCAGGGGTCATAAACCTAAACCTAAATTTTTTTTCTCAGTTTCCATTTCCTAGTTACATTCTTTCCAGAGAAAGTATCCTCCAGCTTTGCCCTCTCCCATCTGTGCTGACTTCTGATGGTAGCTAATTGCCCTCAGCTGTACTGGCTCTTGGAGCTTTGCCTTGTGGCTCCACATGCCCAGGAAAACAAGGCCTCAGGATTCCAACTCACTCAGAACAGAGATTTCCAAGTGTTTTTAAAGTAACAAAAACCTTTTTTTTTTTTCCTTTTCCCAAATGATAATTTTGTTTACGATTAAAGTTTATAAAAGAAGTCTTCTGATTGAAGTGGGAATGGTGGTGGTGAAGCTTCTCTTGCCAGATTCAGATACCATTCTGAGTAGGAGCCAAACCTGTTACCTGGCAAGGGAGTCAGGAGATCACCAGGAAGCTTTATTTATTTACTGATACCGTCTTCTGCCTTCAAATAGCCTCAGCTCCTTAGGAACAGGTCCCAGTAAATCACTGCACTTGGTTAGGATCACAAATTCAAATCAATTAGCTCCGAATTGATATAATCTTATGATGAACCAGGGAGTGTTCTGGGTCTTGGAGTGGTGTCAGGGCTGAATGGAAGGAGACAGAATTCGGATTTAGCAAAACAAGTTCAGTATTGAGAATCACAGAACCGTAAACTAAAGCAGGCATTCGGAGGCTGAGCTGTTTTCCTTCCTATTTGGCAAAACCAAATAGAAACCTCTCAGGCAGTACAACATTGGTTTCCTTGATTACTCCTTTTGGTTAACTGACTATTCTAAGTGTTACTTCAAACAGGTCTTAAAATACTCTGATTTATGTATCAACTAAGTGTAGAAAGTGGGCACCACTTACAGGGAGGTAGAAGTTTCTTCTACTTAGCTTCTGTTAAGCCAGACATGACCCTCATGACAGTGCTTAATGACGATCTCTACAGGATGATGACAAACTCCCATTCTCTGTTGCCTGGACTGACTGGGACCAGCTGGGGAGATGGGAAGTTGGGGTCCAGAGGTCACTGGCTTCCCAGAGGACTGTGTGTTGTGATAAAAAAAACGGAAAGTATCTGTCTACACAGTTTTGGCTGTTCATGTTTTAAGGTGTATTTTTATTTACAAAGTGAGAATGATACATTACAAACAGATGACACAGTTACAAACAGCTGATAAATCCATTTTCATGAAAAAGTATATAAATATATTACAGGAAATTCTATATAGTAAACATTAGAAATTGACATGGTAAACATTTGCTACCTTTTTTCTATGCCAATATTACTGTCATTTAAAGCTTAAATACTGGTTTCAAGTATCCTCTATAAAATACCTCTACTTTATTAAAATACTGGAAAAATTTTTTTTTGCTATAAACAAGATTGGTACATTAAAAATAGACTCGGTGTATCCTGTAACAATGTCCACTATAATCAAATGCTGCCTTTAGCCTTTAGACCTGAATTGTTCAGTTAGTGTTAAACATTTTTTAATAATTGTCATTGGTTATGGTAGCTGTAAAAATACAGCATTTTTCAACACTATTTATTGTTATAAAGAATGCCCCTCCAAGGTAGAGGAGAATAAGCATAATATTGCATGGCCTTGCTGCTCTATAACTCTTATTTTAAGTAGAGAGCAGGAGTTTGTTGGAGGTTCAGGAGAGATACGGAGACATCCAGAAGGCTGTTCTTTCCCTGTTATTTAGAAAGCTGAGGCTGGTCTTTTTGCTCTTCTTCAGCCTGAAGACGTGTCAAGACATAGAGGATGACTTGATAGCAGAAAATATATTGATCCTATAGCCAACAAAACAAAACCACAGCAATGAATACACAGAGAACTTTCAATGTGTCACAAATATCATACTCAGCTACACCCTTAATAGAAGCAATGTTTGAGGAGTTTAGAAAATATGGAAAATTTTTGTTTAAATGCTAAATGTCAGAAACATTAAAAAGCAGCCTACAGAATTGTGTAGTATCAGAAAAATTATAAAAAAACAGAAACCGGATTGACAATATGAGGGGGAAAGCCTGGGAGTTGGAGGTGGTGGTATTTAGAGAACTAAGTGAAGTTGTCTCCGATTGGCAGCCATTTCTATTTTTGTGCTTTGATAATATTTCACGAAAATTAATTTCCTTCATAATTTCTGCTAGATTTATTGAACTCACCTTAATGTTTCAAAATACCAAAAATTTAATATAAAGAACCTACTAAAATGATTTCCTTTAAATAATTTAGAACAAAAGAATATACAAAGAGAGAAATCAAAGTTTGGGGAAATATAATTGATATTTACATATTCTTTAAATATGAAATCTTTTCTTTCAATATTTTAGAAAAAAAGAATATTAAAATCAAAGATTTTTGAAAATGAATCCTTGTGGTTCTCAAAATTATTCTCTATAAGTTGATGGTATTGGTATCTGAGTTTTTTATTTTTGTTGTTGTTGTTATTTTGTTGTTATTAGCAACTCTCTGAAAGTAGGATTATGAGTAGCCTTTTAATTTTCTTGGTGCTCACCTGTATTTTAGCTTTTCTGCATTTGCCACATCATCTCTCTTTCTCTTACATTGCCTACAACTCTTTGGCAAATACACTTCACATAATGTCTTCCTCTGTCCACACCCACCACTCTGGCTACAGGCCTATGATAACTCCCATGTACTCAGAGGAAAGCCCAAGATCTGGCTCCTATCACTTCTTCTCTGACTTCACATTCTCCCACTCTCCTCTGTGCTCTGGTCATGACCGTTCTTGAACCTGTACTTACTTGTGGTCCACTCCCACTTAGACTTCCATGGAGGCAGTGGACTCTGCCTGAAGGCTCCCCCAAATAGCTTCATGACATCTTCCTTCAAATCTCTGCTTAAGTGTTACCTTCCCAATGGTAACACTATTTAAAATTATATCCACAATCTGCCATGACTGATTCCCTTTACCTACATTTCTTTTTTCAGAAGAGTACTTTCTTAGATCCTATATAATTCATTGTACATATTTAACATATTTATGGTCTGCCATCCTTATTGCAAATCCTGCTAGAATTCCTCTGTTACTCTAGCAGGATCTGACTAAGTTGGTATGATTGTTTGAACTCAGGAATCCCAGGCCAGCCTGGACAACACTTGGACAGCCCATCTCAAAAAAAAAAAAAAAAAAAGCTTAATAAGAACTTTTTAAACTATTAAGAATCTTTATAAATTCCTTCTTCAAATAGGCCTAGACTTACCTCTGTCTGAACCATTCCATGTCTTTGTAGTCTCATGCAGCGCACTAAATCAGAAATGTCAAACTGCCCAAGAAAATAGAACGTACACGTTAGATAAAAAGGGAAAAGAACCACATCCCCAGCCCTATTTTGTATTTTATTTAGAGACAGGGTCTCACTAAATTGCTTAGCCTCTCACTTTTTCTGAGGCTGGCTTTGGACTCGAGATCTTCCTGCCTCAGCCTTCGGAGATACAGGTGTGCACCACCGTGTTCTTCACTTTCTAGTAGTTTTGGGAAACTGTCTTAGACAAAATGACTTAGAGAACTGACTTTGTCATCAGTTGGTATTCTTATTTATGATCTAAGAATTAGAGTAGGTTATTATCCTATCTAAAAATCTGTAACAAAATTTCTCTTTCCTAAAATTTGGCTAATTTCTTTTAATTAAAAAATATAAACTACTTTCCTTAGATATTGCATTTCTGAATAAAATTCTATATCTTTTGATTTTAGCTGACATTTAACAGTTTGAAAAAAGGACGAAATAGACTATTTGGTTTTGTTCTACATAAATTATTATAGTTGATATTATAAGAGTATGTAAAGTACAAAATAGAACTACTTTTAACAAATCTTTAAAAGACAATTATTGGCTTGGGAGGCTGAGGCAGGAGAAGTGCGAGTCCAAAGCAAGCCTCAGTAACTTAGTGAGACCCTATCTTTAAATAAAATATAAAAAAGGGTGGGGATATGGCTCAGTGGTTAAGTGTGTCCCCAAGTTCAAACCCTGGTACCAAAAAAAGAAAAGAAAAAGACAATTATATTAATTACATATTCTAGTTTCTGTTATTTTTACATAGATTTATACTAATTAGATCTAAAAGTAAGATTATACTCATATTTGCTTGGTTTATTTAGTAATAATTTTTTAAATTGGGAGTAACTGTTTAGAAAGAGACAATTTAGCATTAATTTGTATAACAAAATGTACATTTCTTATACATTTTCTTTTGTACAATATTTTTTAAAAAAATATTTTTAGTTGTAGATGGACACAATACCTTTATTTATTTATGTTTATGTGGTACTGAGAATCAAACCCAGTGTCTCACAGATGCTAGGCAAGCACTCTACCACGGAGCTACAACCTCAGCCCTATACATCAATATTTCTATCCCCAAAGTGTGATGAAAATTCTGACTTTAATCTTATACAGGCATAAAGACTATAAAGGATAAAAATGCAACACTGCATATGGGGCTTTTGAGCACACTATTAAAATACACATTATTTTTTAAAAAATATTTTTTAGTTCTCAATGGACATTTATTTATTTATGGTGCTGAGAATTGAACCCAGTGTCTCACACATGCTAGGCAAGTGCTCTACCACTGAGCCACAACCCCAGCCCTAAAATACACATTATTAAACAGAGTCTAGCATAATTTCTGATCATATGCAGATTCAGAATATATCTTGTACTCACTTCAAGATCTTGACTGATTAATCCCAGAACCACATCTATGCATATCAGGGTCCCTGAACGTCCAATGCCAGCACTGCAGTGCGTAATGATTGGGCCTGACTTATGAACGTGTCTCATGTAAGAGATAAACGTGAGCAGGTCATCCGGCTGAGAAGGTGTATCGTGGTCTGGCCAGGCAGTGAAATTCAAATGAAAAATATGTCGCACCTCTCCTGTCT